TTAACCGGTCTTCTAGTTTAGTGTGTGCAAATCGGTCCTAATGAACTTAATTGGATCCAAACCCCACCCGCCAAAGTTAGCATAATTAAAATCGGTGGCCTATATCAAGCTCAATCAACCATGCAATGATCTTGAATCTCACAGTTAAAATTATAATTACGTATCAATAAGGTTGATAAGTCAATCATAGCGCTATAGCTTAAGCCCCCGAGTCAAGCACAAAATGCTCATTAAGCTCGAGATATAATCTAACCAATTAGTTTTGACTTTGGTCAAATGAGGAAACTAGTCAAATTCAAGACTAAACACAAAAGGCTTAGTCCAATGTTTTATTAATGGGTGAGGTGAATTTGTCCTTGGAGATTGGTTTATTCTTAAGCTCAAAACTCATAACTAAAGCGAATCTAACCAAGGTCTACATAAACAAAGGTTAAATTTAATTTAAGTTATAAACCACTCAATAACTTATATTGATTTTGGATACACTTCGATTTATAGAATTGAATCAATAGACCAACAAACTAAACCTAAAGGATTCTAGGCCCTCAAATATAAATTCAGATAATCGCTAGAATAGAAGCGAAGTAGTTGATTAATTCAAAATACTCTAAGCAAGTATTAGTCGGCTTAGCCTAACCCACCTCAACCAATATTAGTTGAGTTATATCATTTATCGAGCACCAACAACTCAACTAAAGTACATACATTATCAAATTACAAAAATCAATGGAGCTCGTGACCTCTAGCCCAACTATGAAGAACTAAAGCAATCATATTTAAATAATATATAGATTAATCGAAATTGTGACCATAGTTAAGGCTCTAAAATTAAAATATACTGGACTTTTGCCTCATATAAATAGTGTTAGCTACTCTTACGACAATATCATGACAAAAACCCCATCATTAATGCAAAGCTACAATTTTCTTCACCAACACACTAAGGCTTGCAGTCCAACATCCTATCCACGTGCACAAAATAGCAAACCTAGTTCTATGTTTAAGGTTTGCCTAAAGCTAACCTACCATTGACTATGTCGTTTACACCCATCTGCATGCCATCAAAGTTGACCTACATTAGATTACCATCCAAATATACTATCTTAACCTGGAGCTCCTCACATAAAATGAAGGTTAAAGGCTATCATCTCTTCGAATGACCCACCCCAACCTTATTTGATAGCCACAACCACCATCTCCTCTTATAACCTTGAGTGAGCATTGCCTTCTTTTACATAGTTATGGCAGCCCGCAACCCTCACCACCAGCTATAGCAGACCATCCACCACCACATATGATAGCCACCAGCACTCACGAGGTTGTCACCTCTCCCACTTACACAACCAATTTCCTCGCAAAAATCGGTCCATGACCAACGATGAAAAGTACTATGATGGCTTGATAACTGACATCCCTCCAACTCGCTTGCCTCTTGATGCAACATCAGCTCTTACACCTCCATGCATAATTCATCATCTCATCTCCCTCTAAGAAACTTGTCAGCTTACCACAACCTTGACACAAAGCGACAACCAAGCACACCTCACGCTAGGGACCATTTGCACTTCTCTAATAAATCGATGTCGTCACCTAGCATCCTCCATTGATAAGTCCTTTGCCAACATTACAAGCCACATATCTCATTATTTACATGTTTCCCTCTGCATGTGTAACAAACTCGTGGGCAACAGACTCACAAACAACTCCACACAAGCAATCAACATCCTCCATGAACGAGCTAGCACACCCATCAACATCATATGCATGCTACTTGCTATCAGTGCAGTGACAGAGGAAAACAACTTTATGTGTCAATGCCTCCCAAAACCTTTATTTACAATATATTCCCATAAACACCATTATTGGCATTATGATATGAGAGTCATAGGCATCTAAGGACTCATCATGCTCTTTACAACAAGCTGGAAAATCTTGTGCAATATACTATCAGTTCAATGATGAAGGAAAACACCTTTATGTGACAATGACTCCAAGAACCTTTATTGACACACATTCCCATAAGCACCTTTATTGGCATTATGATATGAGATTCATAGGTTGTGGTGCTTTGTTCACCCACCAAAGCAACTTTATTATAATGATGGAATAGCCAAATTTCACTACTCCCTTGTGGAGTTGAGTAAAACGATGCTAGAATTTTCACTAAAATTCACGCTCTTTTATAAATTACATTTTCACTTGTATGTATTCTTAAATGACCCTAAGCACCTTTATGAGTGTGGTGGTTGCCTATAAGGACATCCCTTGGCGTGGTAGGATGATTTATAGGGTTTTGAAATAAGATGACCGACGTCTACTACTATCTCATAAGGGTGACACAACTTTTGTCAATTTTTTCAATAAAATTCACTTTTATATAAATTATGTTTCACCGGAAGGCATTCATTAAGTATTGATATGATGGGATAAATTTCAAAGGTCTATAGCCCAATGCAATGCACCCAAGTTGCCTTTATTGGTGTGGTGAGGTGGCCTACTTCTACCACCTCTTTGCAAGAGTGAAAAGAAAGCATTGTCAAAAATTTTTGACAAATCCTTTGTATTAAGCTCGCTAAAAATGAACTCATGAACAAAGGCTTACAAATATACTCAAAACTCACAAACATAAAATAAATAGTATATCATAATAAACTCTCGTTCAAAACTATCAACTTAGCTAACTTTCAGAGATAACCCGTATATACAATCAACGTGGCTCACTCCATGACTCCATGTCTCAACAAATAGCAACAAGGCACTTGACATCAATCCGCAGGGGGACCTACCAAAGCTTATAATAGTAGAGACAATACGCTATCCTATATATCATGGTCCAAAATGTTTGGCTTTACATTCGCATCAAACCTTCACAACAATTTATAATGAAAATTTAGCAATGGATAACTTGTCAATAAAGATGAAATTGAAAGATCCATCATTAAGTCACTCTCAGCAGGTTAAAAGTCTCCCTACATTGTATATATACAAATAGAATTATAAGTCCTAGACTCCCATTAAACGCACACAAGATAATACAATACACTAACAGATTTAAGCCATATTGGCTATAGAGTTAGGTCGTACAAACTCATGCTTTGGACACCCTCTAACTAAAGTTAGTAAGTACCATATATAGGCATATTTACCGTTAGAGTTGTAAGATCTAGCCTCCCTTCAAACTCAAATTAGAAAATTCAACACATAAACGAACTAGAGCTACCTCACTTGTAATATGATATTGTAAGATCAGTCATTGAACATTTTTGGATTAGAGATCATATATCTCTCCTAAAGACTTCCACATTTTTGAGTTAATAAGATCAACGCTTAGGGCCGTCCACATGCTTGGGTTTATAACTCCTGTCCGTAAAGTCCTACAATCAAGCAATGCAAACCTTGGCCTCAATAAATATTAATATGATATGCAAACTGAATTTAATCAATATATGTGATCTCGAGCGATCTTACATATAGAACGAGGTCATAAGACCCATTAATGGGCCTTTCTCTAATCAAGAGATAATAAGTCTCTCTAATAAGCCCTTCTAATACCAAAATTATAAGTTCCCTAAGCATCAATAGTAATAGAGCAATAATCCTAAGCTCAAGGTCTTTATGATCACAAACGTTGCATTCACCAATATATTTAGCTTCACACTTTCACAAGCTCTTCAACAGATTTTATGATGAATAATTGTCATTCCTCACCAATAGAGTAGAGTCATAACACCCAACTTTGAATATCCTTTGACTAAGAGATTATAAGTCATGCATGTGTCACGGAATTGATTCAAACCTTCAGAGATTTATCTATTTGCCTCCCTAGATATTTTCTGTAAGAAAGAAATACATAATCCGCCATCCTCCAACTATATCATAAATATACAATTCCAATCAACAACTTTGATTTGAGCAATACCTCACAAGTCCCATCTGCATCCACATACTAAGCATGACCCCATAATTCTCATATACGCCTTTAGGTTGGCCACAAGGCCCAAAACCCTATAATGCCCACTTTTTGAATAACTCCATATCTAAAGCAGCTTAGGCCTTCTAATATCATTGAAATTAATTTGCATAAGTGAATACTACACCAACCAAATTTCATGCCATTTTATCATATGCTAGAGGTAAAGCTTTGAAATGAGCAAATTTGATCTACCCCATACCTCCTTGAGGCAACCAATAGATAGAATCGGCCCTCCACCATGCGGATGTTAACCCCAGCAACAAGTGCTGGACCATCATTAATAAAGTCTCACAACAAAGATGCCACGTGGAATATAGCTCTTACACTTATGTGTCATAGGGTGCAATTGCATATCGGTCCCCTCAAAACCTTTTAGATCAATGACAAGCCTCAGTTATAAACGATGCATCCTTTGACATGTTATCATCTCAATCAACTAAGGATATCTGAAGGGAAGCATCCTATGGCTTCTACTCAAACCCTCCATCATTGGTAGATTGGGTCCACCAGGTTGACCCTAAATGAGATGAAACCATTTATTAATCAGGTTGATCACTAATCCCCATCCAATCCCTTAATATAAGCATAACTTCCAACTAACAATCCAGAATTTAATGATATCCTTAATCAAGAATATACTTAGACCTCAGACCCATGAAGCAATCAACTATTGACATTTGTACCCATTGAAAAATCCAATCCCCCAATATTAAAATAAAACTTACCCCCTCATTGGCTAGACGGAAGAACTCTACAGGACTGTATTCTAATCTTCCCTATGAAATTCCATGAGACTCAAAAGTCTTTTCTGCAAACTCTAAAAGAGAATGAAGAAAGTAGATCGCAACATGAGCTCATAAGTTCCATTCAAAACGCTCAAAAAGTAGATAAGCCTTAAAGAAATCATTACAAAAAAAAAGGACCAAATAAACATGTAAACCAAACAGCAAAAAAACCTTAAAATGACAATTTAAATGAAGAAATGCTAAAAACCATCATAAATTTAAAAAAAAAATGAAGGCATTACCAAAATATTTGAAGCATGAGACAAATAGTCCTTGACACCATCAATCCATAATTCATCAAGATGATTTTGCAGTTGTGACTGGATCCAACTGCAAAAATTTAGTAAGAAAGGCATTAATTTCAAATAGTATGCATACAATATTCAAATTCCAATTTTTCAACAATTAAAAAAAACTATTAAAAATGTTGATAAAGGAGCATATGAAATTATATTAATTTTTTTAAGGAAATGATGCAAAAAATATTTTATAAGAGAATTAAGTTTTCAGGATTTCAGTGAAACAATAAAAATGAAAAAAAAACAAATCCAATTCAATAAGTAGTACTTCCAGTTGGATATCATTTGGCTAATGCAATGTGGAGAGGTCATAGTTGCGAAACCGTCAAAAATAGTATAAAACTTTTAGTTAGAAGTCATAAAATGCTTTATAGGTTCCATATGATAATTTTTACCATCATATTTTTTATATAGCATGTGATAAAATGGTGTATAAGAAGAATACAACATAAGAATTTGGGATCACATTCAGGGTGGTTAATGGGAAGGAAACACTTAAAAATAAGAAGTGTGTGGAGACAAAAGTTTATATGGGATGACGTGGGCATCAAAAGGAATGCGGGATCGCATCTCCACATACGAGAGCAGAGTCACGCTTGGGCGCACTTGGAAGGTCTAGCCCAAGCATCCGTGAGAGTCAGTCGGCACTTCCTTTTGGGCTTGGCGCTTCTTTTCAACAGTGGGGTCACTCATTAGTTATCAAGGGCTTATATAATTGCTTTCGTATTTTAAGATTTCAGTCTTTTCCTAGTATTTGTCGATAGTCGTTGGCACTCTCTCCTACCTTCAAGGATTATATCTGAGGGTTCGAGTGGTGGTTCGACTGTATCTCTCTCCCGAGGTGATGATTATCTTCCCTATCCCTTTCTGCATCTTCCCTGCGTCGCTCTCGGCTTCCCTCCATTACCACTGTCGCCCCAGAACAACTGTCTGCTATTATTTTCCATATAGTTTTTCAATTCCAACCACCTGTCCTCGCTGCCTCTCCACTGAAGGATGTCCCAGAAAACCACCCCCTGAACAACCCCTCTATCCCATTGGTAGTTGTTCCAACCACCAATAGCCAACTCACTCGCAACCTTGTTGTTGTTCCAGCCTCCAGGACCGCATCCCTACCACCTAGCCGTTGTCCAAAACACTCGGCACCGCCTCCCTGCCACAGATTCGTTGTCACAGCCACCTGAAACCACCTCCTCGCATCCTAGCAGCTGTCCAACCATCGAAAACTTATGATTGTTAATTCTCAGTTGTCCATCCATCTGAAACCGCTTATGATTGTTATTTCTCTACTACCCAGCCACCTATCCACTCGTTGCCATTCCGAAGAGCGAATAACTACTACTTTCTTGATGTATCGCCCGATGCTCCACATCACCCTGTGTTGCCGCCACCTTCCCAAGCCATAACAACCACCACCACTACCCTAGAATAACCCTAGTTGTGTGTCGTATGTCGTGTATGTTGTTATTTCCCCTTTCCATATGTTGATTGTAATCGTCTATTGATTTCTTCAGTAATAATATTTCTTTGGATGTTATAGTTTGGGTAAACCCTGATATTATTTGGTATCAGGGCTAGCCCGATCCTAGTCCTATCCAAACTAAGGCTGTCAAATCAACCCCCATCCCAAAAAAAAAATGTTGCCCTCCCTTTTCCACTCAAACCATCCACACACCCTTCCACCCCACCGACTCAATCCCAACCTCCAACCATACCACCAAGAAGATAATTATTGGAAACCTGATCGGTAAGAAATTACAAAATGCCACTTATAAGAAATCCGGAAATAGATATCCAAGAATTTTAATGGAAAATTCTTCAACTGCAACAGAGGCTCTCCACCTTCAAGAGAAAACCATTCAAAGGAAACCACTACCCCAAATATTTGGCATGAAATATTAGAGAAGACAGAGCTTTGAAGTAAAAGTAGATTTGTCATATTTTGATGGTCGACAAAATATGGATCCATAAGAGTTCTAATGGCATTTGTTTCGGTTTTGAAATGAATTCCCATTGTTTTCATCTCTAATAAGTAGCAACTAAACATCTCACTCCTTTGAATTGGTAATTAATGCAAGTTACTAATATTCATGTATTGTGATTGAGATATCAATTGTAGCACATTGATATCTTAATATTTTGCACAAAATTTGCATCTAAACTGGTCACTTAGATTGTTAAAACGAATATGATCTAGTAATACGAAAGTAGGTTAGTAAAAGGATTAGGTCAACATACACTGCCTTATAAAAATAGAAATATTGTTGTTAGAGTAGTGCAACCGCATGGAGAAACACATAAACACGGAAGTTTTTACATGGTTAAGAAACAAATTGTAATATGAATCACCAATATTTCTTAACGTCATCGAAAGAGGCTAAGAAATATTATTATTTCTGGTTGTCAAATATTGAAATCACGTGATTGCTAGGTCAAATTCAAGGGAGGTTTTCTCACTTGATTAAAACCCAAATCATAGTTCGTAGGTTACAACCCTTTACAAAAATTAGGTTAAGTAATTTTCAAAAATGCACCAATTTTAATTCTTCAAGCTATACTTAAAAATAATATACTAGAACTTTTCATGTTTTGAAAATTAACTCATTCCTCGTGTGATCGATACACAAACTCAAATTTATATATTACTTGAGCAACATGTATACTTGCGTGGTTGTCATCCGCCTCACAACAGTTCGGGCATCAAATTTTTATTATATTACTGATTTACTTTATTTTTTATTGATATAAACTTATTTTTAAGTTTGCATTTATAGGACTGGAACCGTAAATTTAGCACTTTTTGACCCTAAAATAAAAAAATAGCGAAAAAATCCCAAAAAAATCAACCAGAAGAACACCTTAGATCCCTTAGGGACTATGTCAACCCATAGGTAGAAGAAATTCACTTGAGTATTAATAACCCTGCCATAGAAGCCGCTCCTTTTGATGAACTCAAACATGTCATCATCCAAATTGTTAAGAACAACTAATTTGGGGATCACCCGCAGAAGTCCTTAACCTCTACTTAGCTAGTTTTCTAAAATTTTGTGCCACATTTAGATACAATGGCGTCATTAATTATGCTATTAGACATATGCTATTAATCAGTAATATAATGAAAATTTGATGCCCGAACTGTTGTGAGGCAAATGACAACCACGCAATGATACATGTTGCTCAAGTAATATACAAATTTGAGTTCATGTATCGATCACACGAGGAATGAGTTAATTTTCAAAACATGAAAAGTTCTAGTATACTATTTTTAAGTCTAGCTTGAAGAGTTAAAATTGGTGAATTTTTTAAAATTACTAAACCTAATTTGTGGAAAGGGTTGTAACCTACGAACTATGATTTGGGTTTTAATCAAGTGAGAAAACCTCCCTTGAATTTGACCTAGCAATCTAACCCTATTCACGTCATTTCAACATTTTTTACAACCAGAAATAATGATATTTTTCAGCCTCTTTCGATGACGTTAAGAAATATTGGTGATTCATCTTACAATTTGTTTCTTAACCATGTAAAAACTTCCGTATTTATGTGTTTCCCCACACGGTTGCTCTACTCTAACAACAATATTTCTATTCTTATAAAGCAGTGTATGTTGACCTAATCCTTTCACAAACTACTTTCGTATTACTAGATCATATTAGTTTTAACAATCTAAATGACCGGTTTAGATGCAAATTTTGTGCAAAATATTAAGATATCAATGTGCTACAGTCGATATCTCAATCACAATACATGAATATTACTAACTTGCATTAATTACCAATTCAAAGGAGCGAGATGTTTAGTTCCCACTTATTAGATCCCTTAGGGACTATGTCAACCCATAGGTAGAAGAAATTCACTTGAGTATTAATAATTCTGCCATAGAAGCCGCTACTTTTAAACTCAAACATGTCATCATCCAAATTGTTAAGAACAACCAATTTGGGGATCACCCGCAGAAGTCCTTAAACTCTACTTAGCTAGCTTTCTAAAATTTTGTGCCACATTCAGATATAATGGCGTCATTAATTATGCTATTAGACATATGTTATTCTCTCATACTTAGAGATAAGGCTGAGATATGGTCGAACTCTTTAGCACTATGATCGATCACCAATTAGAATGACCTATCCCAAGAATTCTTGACCAAATATCTCCTCCTATCAAGAATGTCAAACTTAAGAACGATATCACATCATTTACCGACCTAGATGAAGAGTCTATTTATGAAGCTTGGAAGAGATTCAAGAAATTACTTAGAAAATGCCCACACCATGGCTTACCTGATTGGCTTAATATCCAAACTTTCTATAATGAGTTTGGTGGGATCGTTGAGGCTTATCACAGATGTTGCATATGGGGGTCTCTAACGTCCAAACCATTTGAGGATTAGTTTAAACTAATTAAAAAGATGATAACAAACAATTTTAAATGACCCTTCTAGAGAGCCAACCCTAGGAATGTGGTTGGTGTTAATGACACGTGTTAGCAATCATAACTTCAGAAGTAGCTACAAATCCAAGAAATTGGATAAGTTAGGCTTAAATCCAACAATAGGATCTTTAGCAATAAAAGACAATGCATATGGTCAGCTAATGTATCCTTGTAATGCTTTTGTCAAGTCTATAAATACAATTAATAACAGACTCAATAACCCGCATTCCAATAACAATAACTCAAGCTGAAGAAATCACTCAAATTTTAATTGGAATAATAATAACCAAGGTGTAGGCACCAACAATGGGATTAAAACCAATCTAATCTTGTATAAATTAGAATAACCAGAGCAATAATAACCTGAGACCGACTTCCCACCATAATTCACTTCCAACTCTCAATTTAAAGAAAAAAATTATCTCTGTAAGAAATAATGTTACAAATGGGAACCAGTTTAAAAGTCAAGCTGCAGCCATAAAGAATATCGATAATCAATTATGACAAATACATAAATCTTTGAATAATAAACCCTAAGGAATGTTATCTAATAACACTAAAGTGAATCCTAAAGAAAAAAGAAATGAAGTAAAAACCATTAGATTAAGAAGTGGGAAGGACTTGAAGATATTTCAAGTAGCCCTAAAGAGCTAGATCCTAAGCCTAAATGATCTGGTGAGAACCCTTCCACAGACTTAGTAAAACTTGACTCGCCTCTGAGGAAAGAATAGAGAAGCCTTACCACCACCGTTTCCCCAAAGACTTCAAAATAATAAGTTAGATAAGCACTTTTCTAGATTTCTAGAAATATTCAAACTTACAATTAATATTCCTTTTTTTGAGCATTAGAACAGATGTTTAGTTATGTGAAATTTACTAAAGATATTTCGAATAAGAAAAAAAATTTAAGTGATTTTGAGATTGTTGCTCTGTAGCTGTGAACACAAAGCTTCACAAGCAAGGAGTGTCATGAGTGGGAAGTGCTGAGAGCAACTGTGAGCAATTGAGTTGTTAAATACATTCTCGAGCTGAGCAAGGAAATTATTTCCTTTGAAATAAATTTCTTTTAAATCTTTTACTTCTTTTCTTATAATTGTTTTTAAATTTCTTTAACAAATTTTATTTGTATTTATTAATTTTTAAACAATATTGTGTTGATTTTTAACTGATGATGAATTAAGTTAATTTATTTATAGATTATGCCATATTTATGGTTTTTTTATATAAGTTCTTTTTTTTTCTTTTTTGTTCAAGGCTTACATAGCGATCCGCCTTGAGGCTTGTCTTGCCTCACCAAGGCAAAAAATGTCATTTCTCGATTTCACTTTTTAAAACCTAAAAATCCACTAGCCACCTTCTTCGAATTTGGCATTTAATCGTTTGGGATTACATAGTAATTAGCACATAAGCACTAGCAAACAACTTAAATAAATCGAGAATTGTTTTAATTGATTAAGTTGTTCATTCCTAAAAGAAATATCACCCAGCTTGCCCTTGGCGAAGGTGGCTAAAATCCCCTGTTATATTAATTTTTTTTTTTCACTTCAATTTTGTTTGTTTTTTCAAGAATTTTTCAATACATTCTTTAATGAGATCAGATTTTTCTAACAATAATCACACTTAACCCAATCAATTTTTTTTGTTACCACGTGAATCAAATAATACAAACTCTGATCTCATTATAAAAGAGTGTTGTTTAGAACGTGAACTTTCGAGTTTATTTCTTTTGGGCTCCAATGCATCCCATCAAACTGAAAGAAAAGATTTTAATCCTAGCAAAGGCTCTCTTACTTCATTGAAATCCTTATTCAACCCACAAAAGAAAACAAAATCACGCACATTCTGACGAACAAACTATCACACTTGTTCGAGTAGCTTTTCATTGCTGCAAAAATACTCCTTTACTCCATTCACTTTATACTCCTTGAATTCTATTTTTAGTAAAATTTTGCAACTGAAGGTTGTTACTGCTCGCCTTTCTAAGTCTTTTGTGGTCAGGGTTTTAATTAAAATGGACATGTTCTTAAATTGCAAAAGATGTAAATTTGTTGGCAAGAGATAGAATTTGAAGAAGGACCAACATATTATTCCTTTTATAATATCGTTACGTAAAAATCTATCATTATTTAAACACTCATTTAAATCTAAGAAAATAAAATTTAGGCACAAGAAGGCCATTCAAATATTTAGATTGTTCATAATTCATAATAATTAGCTCATCTATACTCAGTTCAAATATGAAATCAAAATTTTGAGTCAACTGACGTTCCTTGAGATCCAGAGACTATCATGTTTGCCCTTGCTAACCATACAGAAAAGATCTCTACATTTTGCAAGCATACATTGAAATTTTTTTCATCGACTATGTAAGTTTTCCCTCTCCCTCCTATCAGTGAAGACATGGATGACGATAAAACTTTCCAATCTGATGCTTCCAATGGAAGCATAAAAAATGATGGCATTCTAAAGGATAAAAGATTTCAAATACTATTCCCCAAACGAGATCAAAATCAAAAATATATATAATCACTCCAAATTTCATCAGGTTTCAAACAAGTTGGTTCAAATATTTTTTTCCTCCTTTGTTGCTTTAATGTACTATTGGATGATTCATCCTTTGGCTTCATGTTGTATGCATTTGATCTTTTATATTTACTCTTTTTTACTTTGACAAATATTGATGATTTTCATTGTTATATGCATATTATTATCAGGTTATAATATTGTGTTTAAAAGACGTTACATTCCTTCTTACACATTTGGATATATTTCAAACTATCATATTGGTAACTCCTAATGGAGTCATCAAATATAACCATCTATTGGCATATTGAATAAGAGTGGTGACGTATCAAATTGCAACACTAGCATCTAAGTGTGAATTATCAAGGTGGGTCCCTCAAGCATTAATGTGTTTTTTATATTGAAATACATTACTGCACGATATCCCAAATCTCCTTCGCAATATTGTGGAAGAGATAAATCCAAGTGATTTTAAACACGAATGAATTTATAAATCAAACCATTGCCGTGGAAATCTCATCCTGCCAAGTTGTTAAACCGTTTACACCATCTTGTAATGGTTTTGATGCTCCAACAAGGTAGATGATTCATTTTTTGCCCGCAATCACCAACAAAACAGATTGAGATCATTCCCTAAATTGCCCCATTGAGTATATGATGGTAGTTTGAAGGAGATAATGATCACCAATCAAAGGCAAAAAAAGGTAGTAGTTGGCAAGATGAACCAAAAGGGGCTTCTGGGGAATCCATACTTTTTGCTCCATTCATGGACATTTTGGCTATAAAGAAAAGGCAAATAGCAACGAGCTTTGATACACAATTGACATAAAAAAGAAAGAAAGGATTTTCTCTAAATTGCCTAATTTATTGTCCAGGGCAGATTATGTACAACAATAAAAAATCAAAATTTAAATATGCAAAAATTGCAATTAAAATTAGTCATAATTAGGAAAGATAACAATATCAATCTAAATAGAAAAGAGCCTAATTTAATACTTGTAAACAGAATTTTTAATCACACCTTTCCCATATGAAATATATTTATCACATTTTCCAAAACTTCAAATAAAAATTGTTACATAAGCACAAGCCAAATAGACAGTTTAAAAATCAAAAATAAGATCTCCACGAGTACAAAAAGAGGAAAAAGCATATTTGAACCTTATTCCAAGAATAAGCTTAGTTAATGAACCAATAATCCCATGAGGTAATTTTAAACCAGGGGTAAATTACATAGAATTCAAAATAACCTTGATACATTCTCTAGTTCTTTCTAGCATATAACATCATTATATATACTTTGTTGCCATATAATTCAATTTCCAATCTACTTTTTCCCCCTCCAAACTTTCCCTCATAAAAGGCACTAAGAATCCTCAACAACACTTGATATTTTATCCAACAAATATAATGATCACGCAAGTAAAAAGAAATTGGTTATTATTGTACTCTTGGTGGCTAAGACCAAACTTGGTAAATGTTGGCTAGTTGAACCAAGTCACCACTTGAAGCAACTTAATTAACGCAATATTAAATTTGTTTTTGTGGTGAAATAGGTTATTTTGCTACAAAATCTCCTATTTCAACAACAATAGAAGAGATCAGCAAGGACTAAGTGGGTAGAGAGGTTTTGGTAATAGGGAAAAAAATGGATGGAAAGCTGAAATAGGTTATATCATCTTGTGTGAGTCCCTCCATTCAATAGCAAATGAAAGGAGATTGAAAACATGATAAGTGAGCAAAGGAATTATGGGGCCATGAGATAGAAGAATGTAAAGGCAAATGAGATTTTGCTATATGTCGTAGAAGTAAGAGGTTGTATTCCACATAAGTTGATGAGAAAATGTGTCATCATTGGAGGGGAAAGAAGTAGGTTTTCATGTGGATAAGTGTGATCAAATTCACAATTAAAATTCAAGGAACGTTGTTCATAAAATGGATTTTAGTAGCTAAAAGAAAAGTTACTAAAAATATATTCAAAAATGGTCAAATAACAAAAAAAAATTTTGTGATCAAATTAGGAAGTAAACAAGTTTAAATGCATTATCAAATAAATTGGGGATAACTGCCGCTAGAAACTAGTTATTATAAGGACAAAGCTTCCGCATGGAAGCTTTAAAGCATGTAGCACAAACATTTCAAAAACTCGCATTTGTGTCTAGCACACACACGCACCTCTAATATGTCAATAACATTGATCTTGTAAATCTTTTTTTTTTTTTAATTAAAAGTAGAGTTAGGCTTGGCTAGGGAGAGCAATGATGGTGAATTGTGCATTTTTCAATGAATCAACTATGGAATTTTTTCTTCAAAGATGATGAGAGTGCTGCTGAAGATGGCATCCATCTTAGAGGTTAATAAGATTACATTGCTAAGTGGGTTGCATCGAATTAGTTATAGATCAATGTGTTCACATTTTTTTAGATTATTTTAAAAAATACATGCCATTTTTGGGTTATTAACATTTTGTACAGACAAATAAATATTGATATCAACAAACTAATATCTGATTAATACAAATGCTACCGGAAATCAAGCACACCAAATGAAATATTAAAATATAACTATGATAATGTTAATATTAGCTTTTTTTATCATTAAGATTTTATGCCATATCTGATATTATACTTCAAAATGTGACTCTTTTAAAGAGAAAATCTTAATAGTAGGTCTTTTGATAGTACAGCTTATATTTATAATTAATTAAAAAAAAATACATCTATTGTGTGTTTTGCCCTTTTATGGTTATGTAATGTCACTATATTTATATCATATTCCTATATCATGTCAGTGCCCATGCTTTAAAACCTTAGATCATTTGACAGAAAAAGCGTATAAGAATAAGTATACAAGGGCCATATTGCCAAAAAATGAAAATAACAACAAGAAATATGTCTACCTTGAAAATTGTGTATTAAGTGCCCTCACATGTTGCAATGATAAGTTTGCCCGTTGAACATCCAAAGGTGGCCGTTCCCACACATCACGATGAGAAGCCTCTACAATAAGATCACCTGAAGATGGTGCCTCCATCACCCTCTTACTCCGTAACTACATGATTTAAGGACAATGTGACAACTTCACACGACCAAACTCAATTTAATTCTACTTCTGAACAGGAAAAGGCATGAACAACATTTTACCTAAGAAAAAAATTAACTATTTATACTTGTCATAGTTAAATTATGAACTCGGTTGAGCATTGAAAGGACAGACAATGCCAAAAAGTAAAGAAGCACTTTCATGCATATCACACAGTTTTTATGTATTTAAATATCTAACAACTAAACTTTCATATTTACATAACACTCAAATCTTTGTTATCGCATCAAAAATACCACTTTTATGAAACCAAAGATTTATAAATGTGAAATACACATTTTCATGCATATTTAATGAAACCAATGCTTTATAAATGTAAATAACAAACATTAGGTGTTAGACAAGTAAACAAAGGAATTGTATGGTATGCCTTAAAATTTCCCAAAAATAAAAAATCCGTAAATTTTTATCTTTAGCATCAATTGATCTATAAAAGAAAGAAAGAAAGAGGCACAAGTAACCAGCTAGAGGATCCAAAAAATCAAGGGAAAAAAAAAACCTTTAAAAAACCTACATACAAAATCTAAGAGAGTGAATTACATATTAGGCCTAGCCCCTGAATAATTAAACCAAAAAGTTTAATTTGCAAGTAACCAGCTAGAGGATTAAAAAAATCAAGGGAAAAAAAAGACCTTTAAGAGACCTACAAACAAAATCTAAGAGAGTGAATTACATATTAGGACTAGCCCCTGAATAATTAAACCAAAAAGTTTAATTTCCCGGAACAGGTCAAAGCGTCCTACATCCCAGTATCAGTTGATTATGTATGTAAGGCCAAAGAACTGAAAATCATAACGTTCTTCTACCATGTTCACGCTTACACCGTATCCAGACTCACACCACATATCTAGATTGAGGTATCTTCCCAGATGTTTTTAAGAACAGTGAAATAAGTAGCACTCCACAGAATCAACAAAATCAACTATCGCACTTTTCTTTCAAGCACCAGACTTCTTCCTCCTCTTCTGACACAATGAGAGCCTCGTAACTAATCCAGGTATAGTCTTTCAATATGAAGACAAAAATAAAGGAAGATTCCTATTCTAAAACGAGCTATCAGATGAGAAAGCAGCACAGAGAAGAAGCGGAGTGGAAGCTAGGGTTTTCATGAAGGCGAAGAGAGCCATAAAAGCATAGGATGGGTGATGGAGAAGTACATGGAAGTCGGTGGGATCGATGGCAGAATCAGAAATGCCAGCACGTCCTCGTTTCATCGCTGCTGGGATTTGAATCTGCAGATAATCCGAAAGGCGGCACTCTAACAGAGTAGCCACATAAATGTCGAGTAGCCGGAAACGGGAACCGAAACGGACGGACGGCTTTTACTGGGTGGCGAGGCGAAAAAATAATTTATAGTTGCTAGGTTCGATGAATTTCAAAATGGAACGTAATATTTTATTGTTTGATTGCCCGTAAAAAATTTTTAATAAAAGTGTAAACAGTCTATTATAATTAGATTGTTTAGTTAATTTGTGTAAAATAAATATAGGAATTTATTTTTTTTTATTTGAATAATATATATGGCCGGCGAGCGGCAATAGTAAGAGCAAAAAGCAATAGCAATAGCAATAGCAATAGGTGCAGCGTCAACTGTTATCTCGGCACCAGCGTCCGCGCTCGCGCAACTACGAGTGGCTTGCCAACAATGAGCAGCAATCGGTCGTTGGGGTATGTGTTCAGATGAACAACAATCCCCTAATACTTTACCAAAGCTTAGATTCAATTTAAATCTAAATCTGTATACGACAAAACTATAAGCACGAATCTCAAAGCAATCATACGGCCAAGGACAATGGTCGGGCAATCGAAGCAACAAGCCGAATGAGCCTGGTCTAAACCAGCTATTCGACAATCAACCGCTCAATTGGGTCGACAGACCACACTGTCTTGGGATTCAATCAACGGATCGTGCTTACAGTCTCAACTACCTAAACCTCTTTTAAGGACGCTCGATCACAACTAGTTGATCGACTGGTTTTGCTCAACAGGAGTAAGCTCTGGTCAACCAAACTAAAATACATCAATCTAATAAAGATGGTTGTATTACACTTAAATGACAACACAAATCTTGTATTAATCTAGCACATTAACTGCATTAAGGACAGTTTTCACAATCATTCCTTCCTTTATTTAATTGTACAAAAAACCACTTTTAATAAAGGTCTAAAGACAAATAAAGGTATTTTTCCCCTCGACTCCTTTCTCAAGAATTCCTTTTCGGCTCCACTCTCTTTCTTAGAGTCTCTTTGGGGCAGCTATTGATTATTGTCGGCACTATTTTTGGTGTGGAGTTTGCCCGTAAGAAGCTGTCGGTCATCGGAATTGAAATCCCGTTGCCCGCTTCGTAAGGACGTTTTTTTTTAAAAAAAAAATTAATTTTGAAAAAGATGAAGTCAAACTGACCCCATAATTTTCATAGTTTAAATGAAAGAGCGCTTTATCTCAAATCTTGTATCTATCCCGAAGGATTAAATACAAGAATTGAGGGTGAGGCTCGATCAAATAAACTAAAGAATGTTATGACATCTGTTTGGTCTGCGAAACCAATGTATTGGCCGACAAATTCCCCTATTTAATATAAGAAATTAAATAGAGTTTATATTATGCTGGGTTCGGGAAAAGCTTCCTATAAGGGCAAGCCCCTATAGTTAATTACATCTTAGA